GAGAACAACTAAATATGACAATTTAACATAATTAGAATTTCTAACACAACGCATCAATACATAGATTCTCAAAGTTATCAACTTGCAATTTAAAATACGAAAACAACTAAATATGACAATTTAGCATAATTAGAACTTCTAACACAACGCATCAAGACATAGATTCTCAAAGTTATCAACTTGAAATCTAAAATGCGAAAACAACTAAATATAACCACTTAGCATAGATGTACTTAACAACATCAAAATTTACAATGATTCATTAAAATCATAAAGCTCGGATGTACTTAATAACATCAAAATTTACCATGATTCATTGATATCATAAAGCTCAGATGTACTTAACAACATCAAAATCGCCAATAACCAAAACCACAAGTCACAATTAAACATGATTATCAACTTGGAATTGAATGCGAAATCAAATAGTGGAAGACTTGGACATTAAAGCTCGGAATTCTGCCGAGACCTCAACGGTTATTCCAGGCATTAACCTGCAGGGAAGACCACCCTAAGTGCGCACTATCTCAATTGGGGAGAACTCATACCTCCGGCACTAGAGCCAAACTCTACCCATGTCACTTGTAACAATAATGTCCTAAGACTCCAAAATAAACCAAATAAGTTCACAACTTATACATAATTTATATAATGCATGAAAACACCTTCCATGCGCAAGTAAGTTGAAACCACACAATCCATGCCTTAGAGTTTCAATTCTAAAATGGCATACATAATGTCAATTACAAAGTGTGCAATTCATTACACAAGGTAACAATATATTCCATAAAAAAAACATGTTCTCATGAATATAAATATAACAACAATGTTATCAATTGCTCAAAACACAGCCAAGTGAATACATAACAAGTCCAAGTCCATGATTTGAATATAGAAACAACTTCTAAAACACAAATAGATCCATGGAACCATTAGATAGAATTTAATTAAGTAAAATAATTAAATTCTCTAAATTTCAAATCAAAGTCAAATAACCTCTAATTAATATATGTTAAACAACATAGCATACTCATTACATATATCAAATTAAAAGTGCAAAATGAGCAAGATAGAATCAAATAGAATTTAATTAATTTAAATCAATTAAATCTCTAGATTTAGAAGACATATATAGAAATTCTATCAAATAAGGACTTTAGAATTCGTACAGACTTCCAACCTAATTTTGACAAGGTAAACAGCTGTTTTAAGGATTCCTCGTGAAATACAAAATTGTAGCTCTTCGAATTTCCTTTTAACCATTGTATGAATTTAGTCGTTTTGACACTTGAGGAGAGAGATATAGCCAGATTACCAAAACGGGTTCAAGTTACCAACTTTGGCGACAGTTTCCTTTTTGGAGAAGGATTTTTTCTTTTCTTCTTCTTTCCATTCTTATCAACTTGTGGCTTCTTTTGGACTATTTTCTAAGTATAATTAGAACCAACTCTTAGACATACCGGGCCCATCCCATGGTGTCCGGCACGCAAAACGTGAAAAGACTAAAATGCCCTCGTAAAAACAGAAAATTTCAAAAAATAGAAAATGGTAAAAACTGGAAATATTACATTAATGCACGAGATAAAAACCTCCGGTGTTTTATGTAATTTGCCCTTTTTGAATTGGTCCTGGTTTTCTTCTTTGCTGATATTTGGAATTCGATTGAATTTTGACTTGTCACACGTGTTGCTCTTACTGATGTGTTCCGTGCCACATGCCGAGTGATTATTTGTTTTTCGTTTAAGCATATGGCTTGTTTCTATTAATGGGAAGTTTACCCACCATACCAAGGGCAAATCAAAACACGGTATCATCCATCCTATCACAATTATCTTAAATTTATGTAGTATTCACCATAGTTGTTAAAGGCTCAAGGCGTACAAAAGTGTAAATGCCTTCTAGAGCTTGAGGCGCAAGGCGCAAGGCGAGGCGCGTGCCCGACTGAAGCAAGGCACACGTTGAAAAAAAAAAAAAAATCAAAACCCACCTATGTGACAGGACTTATTAATATACCTTGGGCTCAATCCCTAAACTCATGGTTAATCAGACAATACAAGCCTATTCATCCATTAATATTTAATATAGATAATACACATTATGAATTCTTTTTAAGTATTTTTTTTTATTGCTATAGCAACTAAGTGACACGACTTATTACAACCTCGGGCTCAATCCCTAAACTCATGGTCAATCCAAAACTGAGACAACATATACAATCCAATTCATCCATTAATATAGACAATACTCCAAGCAAGTAATAATTAATTATTTGTACTAATTGAAACGTGTTAAACAAAAATGTAAATCCAAGAGAACCTCTTTACAGTTTACAACAATAACAAACTCTAAGTTTTCTCAAAAAAAAAAAAAAAAAAAAAAAAACAACTAATTTCATTATGAACTTCAGTCAGAAACTACTACAGTTGAAAGAACCCTTGGATACTAAAAGAACCCAAAACCAGAGGTGACATATTAAACACTATACACTAGACATATTAAATTTGAGATTTTTTGAATTTGAGATTGAAATAAAACTCGAGAAAAAAAAAATAAAGTAAAAAAATAAAAAGCAGAAGAAAAAGAAGAATAAAACTGGAGAATAAATAAATAAATAAAAAGAAGAAGAAAAAAAAAAAAAAAAAAAAAATCTGCCAGACTCTCGAGAGAGCCGAGACTCGAGAGAAGAAAAAGAAGAGAAGAAGAAGAAAAGAAAGAAAAAAAAAAAAATCTAAGCAGATCCGAGAAGAGAAGGAGGAGGGAAGAAGGAGAGAAGAACTTACCAGCTGGCCGAGCTGCCGATGCAGATCCAAGAGTCTGAGTGCCGCAGCGAGCCTCTGTCTTCTACTCTTCTTTCCTTTTTTTTTTTTTTTTTTTTTTTTTTTTTTTTTTTTTTTTTTTTTTTAACTTGTAGACTTGTAGGCATTCTATCATATTGACTAATAAAATAATAATATTCTATTATACATAAATAATAAACAAACAATAAACAAAGTTACAAAACGAAAATAAATAAAAAAAGAAGTAAAAAATGATTTTTTCAAGCAGGCGTGGTGGGAAAGGCACACGCCTTACATAACTCAGCCACCTTAAGTGTACTCAACGCGACAACTGCGCCTTTGACAACTATGGCATTTGGGTTCAAATCATTCTACAATTTTCTTTTGGTGAACAAGGATCTTTATATGTGAGTCTTTGATCTTTCTCTCATACTCGAAAGAGAACATAATATTATTGTATTTAATTGTGAGCTAGTGGATAACTACAACTTGTAACCAACCCAGATTTGATCATGACTTGGCGTTCGCATCCTATTCTGAAATAAATACTAGTATAATAAGTACAACACATAATTTTCAGTTACATATCTTCTAAAACGTCCTAGTGTTACATAATAATGGTGATATTCAAATTTGAAAGCTAGTGTGTGTACCTAGCATGTTAAATGCTAGTTACACGGCATTCTCTTAGCACAACACAATATATTTAAAAACACGGCATTCTCTTAGGAGGACACAATATATTAAAATTTTTTTTTTCTTATTGTTCTTTTAAAAATTAAACTTTTTAAGAAGATAATTTTTAATGCATTTTCTATTGTAATAAACAACGAATTTTCAAATAGATATAGAGGGTGCATATACCTTCAAAGTAAAAAGAATTAATTAAAAATATTATATTAAATTTTAAACTGAAAAAATTACTATGGGACAAGCAAAAATGAAAGGTAGATACTTTTTTTTTTGGGATCCAGGTATTAAAAAAGAAACATTTATTGCACAAAATCCATACAAATTACAAGTGAAGCAAGCTTGAAGAGCGCCATCAAAGAACCAATCCAACAAGGAGCTACCACCTCACTATAGACTATACAGCACTCGAGTTGAAAAACAAAGGAAAAACAACAATTAAGTTAGCAGATCTAAGTATTGGTCTAAGTATTGATCTAAGTTCGACATTTAATTTATAAAAAATAAAAGAAAAATAAATTTTAGATATAATTTAGTTTTTTAGATAGGAGAGTATCTTGGACCTGAATAATGATTCTCAATTCAATTGTAATTATTTTGCCTAATTCAATCAAAGTGAAAAATAAACTTTTAAAATGGGCCACTTTTTATTTTCGACTACTAAATCTAATTGTAGTTTACGCAAAAACATTCATCAACACAGCTGAACCAGCAAGTAGGCATGACATATTTTCCCGCAACAGAACAAGGAATGAGAATATGAATGAGCATGAACTGAGCCACAATTTATGTTCAGCCGTTCAAAGGAGAAGAACAAATTCATTTCAGTATCTAACCATATATATATATATATATATATCTTCCGAGTCAGGTCAGAAATGGACTTTGGGAGGTTTGAGTACAAGGCAAAGATAAAATTGAGATGTGTTATTGAAGACTCTTATATGGTAAACAAATCTCGCAAGAGTTAGGTTTTGAATTAAGTTTGGAGTTACCACCAAGGGTTCTAATTGACTCCTACTTCCTCACCCTCACAAGTAGATGTGAGTGTGAGTTTCTACTTCCATTAGAATTATCAACCAAATCACAGACAACAAGAGCTGAAGCTACACTTCATATTTTTCTGTTTAGTTTCTTCCTTACTCCGAGATGCGAAAAAGGCAAAGGCATGAAAACTATATGTTCATCTGAAACTGATTGCCCCCATAGCATGAACAGACAAAAGGGATATGCTTCCAATACAGTTCTCCATGTTATGTCAGTTACATGGACATTCTTATCTTACGTGAATAAATTGTCAAAATAATTAAATCAGCGTATGCATTCTTTGATCGATCCATCCTAAATATATTTGGATGTTATTTGTTTCTGTCCCAAACTCCAATAATATATATAAATATATATTTATATATATTTTGATTGTGACCTTGTTCATTATAAGTAAAGAATTAGATTAGTCTTAGCATTTAGACTATATCCAGCATACTTGAGCACCAGAGGCCTAGCTTGATACTATACCAAACCATGTCTTCTATGGCTTTGACTTGGACAACAATTGCACTACTTGTTGCACTTGCTTATGTTGTGCAAGCATGGTTGAGGAACAGTAATAAGCGATTACCTTCTGGTCCGAAAGCAATCCCAATTTTGGGACACTTTCATTTGGTAGAAAAGCTTCCTCACCGAGATCTGCAACAACTAGCCAAAGAATATGGTCCTATCATGTACATGCGCTTTGGTTTCGTTTCCAACATCATCGTCTCATCCCCAGAAGCTGCCGAGCAGTTTCTCAAGACACATGACCTTGTTTTTGCTGGTAGGCCAGCTCAAGAGACTGCTAAGTATATTTCTTATGATCAAAGGAACTTAACCTTTTCCGAATACGGCCCTTATTGGCGCACTATGCGTAAGTTGTGCACCTTAGAATTGCTTAGCAGCCTTAAAATAAATTACTTCAAGCCTATGAGATCCGAGGAGGTTGGACTTTTGATCGAATTCATTAAACTGGCAGCCCGGGATCGTGTTGCTGTTGATCTTACTGCCAAAGTCACATCCATGAATGCAGACATGAGTTGTCGGATGATGTTTGGGAAGAAGTACGCGGACAAAGAATTTGACGAGAGGGGGTTCAAAGCTGTGATTCAAGAGGGCATGCAGTTGGGGGTCACGCTTAACCTTGGAGACTTCTTTGCCTTTGTCGGGGCACTTGACCTTCAAGGACTGCAACGGCGCATGAAGGCTATTAGCAAGGTGTTTGATGGGTTCTTTGAGAAGATAATTGATGACCATGTTCAAGCTAGGGACAAAGGCCAAACCAAGGACTTTCTTGATATCTTGTTGGCCTTCATGGAATCTGAAGAAGCTGAGTACCGTATTGATCGTGCTCATATCAAAGCCAATCTGCTGGTAATTTTATTGTATCTACATCAGTACTTTTAGTAGGATCGATGCCTATACATAATATATCATCAGTTTTGACTGAAATTATACTGCAATTACTTGGAAGGCTGGTGTTATAGCCCAAATGCTACTATATTAGTATATTGTAGATTACAAATTATACTATCATTTTACATACCCCCAATTTCCTTTGTAGGACATGCTTGCAGCTTCATTTGACACTTCTTCAGCAACAATTGTTTGGGTACTCTCGGAACTCTTGAGGAATCCAGAAGTGATGAAAAAGGTCCAGAAAGAATTGGAAGAAGTGGTGGGCATGGACAGGATGGTGGAGGAATCAGACCTGGAAAGATTGGAGTACTTGGACATGGTGCTGAAGGAAACCTTCAGGCTCCACCCAGTCGCACCATTAATGCTCCCACATCAGGCTATGGAAGACTGCACAGTTAATGGTTTCCACATACCCAAAAAGTCTCGAGTCACCATAAACATTTGGGCAATTGGGCGGGATCCAAAGTTATGGACTGATGCCGAGAAGTTCATCCCAGAAAGATTTGTTGGCAGTACTATAGATATCCAGGGACGTGACTTCCAACTTATCCCATTTGGCTCTGGCCGAAGAGGCTGCCCTGGGATGCAATTGGGCCTCACCATTGTCCGGCAAGTGGTGGCACAATTGGTGCATTGCTTTGATTGGGAGCTTCCAAATGGCATGTTGCCCACAGAGCTGGACATGACTGAGGAGTTTGGTTTAGTGATAAATAGAGCTCAGCATATACTGGCAATTCCTACTTATCGCCTTAACAAATGATGAATTGCTTAGACAATGTTTGCGATATTCTTCTTTTAAGATAAATGGAATTTGAATAACTATGGACTCGAATTTCTGTTTCTGTTCCTGATCATGTTAAAGTTTTCTTTTTCTAGTAGCAATTAGTTGAGAAAGGCTTTTATGCATAGGTCCTGATTAGAACCATAGTGCTTATAGCGACAACAAATAAAATTTTCCAGCTATGGATTGTATTACCAGTTCCTGTCCTTTGTCTGTATGTATAAACGTTTTGTATATATTGGGTATGCTTTAGAAAATTAGAGTTCTTCCTTACTCTGCAACAAAAGGGTTTTTGGTCTCTCTTGTATATATTGTCAATTCACAGAGAAAACATTGCCCGGAAACCAACCCCCCGGGGACGGCAGCTAACCCCGGTTCTACAAAAAAAAGGGCAAGAATGGAAAAGAAATGAGATGGATGAATCTTCATCCCTAAAATAGGTTTTGAGGTCATCAATATATATGTACCCAAGCAACCCCGCAAAAATCTCTAACAGAGTCCCCAAACAACACCCCCAGCGATGCTGCTCAAGAATGGCCTGGATAGTTATGAGGAGCTCCAGGGTAGCAAAACTAGGACACAAAATTTCAGCATGGAACTGGTTCCCCAAAGCAGAACCGGATCCGGTATGGCAGAATGTGCATTTTGCCCCGAAATGACCCCTTTTTTTATTTCAACAATGATCCAAAGTTTTCCCATCCTTGAACCAAACCTAATTGACAATAGAATGGGCACAAAAGTGAGTACGATGGGGACCTAATTGAACATGAGAATGGTCATACGCTCAAATACATTATAAATTCCAAGTAAATGGAGTACAACCCCTCTCACTTGAAACGAAAAACAAAGGCCAACAAAGCCATATATGTCCTTATCATTCTAGTATACGGGAATGCCACATGAAAATCATAAGACTTAATTATGCACGAAATAATCATAAAGCTTATCTATACATATATTGTAACGACCCGAACCCTGGGGTCCGAATCGTTATTTGGGTCCTTATCCGAATCCGAGGTTAACTAAGTGCAAAATGGTCATTATGTACCTTACTATGAGTTAGAATGTAACGACCCGAACCCGGGAATCCTGGGTCCTTACCCGAACCCGGGAATCCGAATCATTTACTGGGTCCTTACCCGAACCCGAGATCATCTAAGGCATTGCCGTCTTTTCCTATGTCAATGTATAAAATATATACGTCATTCCAAGACTCATAGTACATCATATCACTAACATCACAGAAAACTCACCAATGCAGGTAGAATGTCAGCGGCGTCTAAGTTCATGGATACAAGTCATACGTCCATACTTCTCTGATTTCCTGAAAATGTTAAGATAAAGGGCGAGCTCAATAGCTCAGCAGGTAATGCTTAAAACACAGATTTTGAACTCCCTTGAGCCAACAACCAAAGAACAAGAATAGAAAAAAGACCAGGGTCATGCAATGGGAGTCCGCACAACATTTATAACATAACAATCAAAACACATAGTCACATATCACAATTCTTTAAAATCATGCACATGATATGACGTGTGATGCATCCTATCCCAAACTTGGGTTTATACCGACCCAACACTCACTTTTAAAAAACCCGCTAACTAACTTTACCGATGCGAGATTGATAACTATCTCCGGTTCCAATTCTGGCAAAGCTTGGCAACCGTTAAAGGGCCTAGTATCAATTTTTTTACGCCCTACATCGGGTTACGCTCTCTCTAGGTCAAGCTAGCCCCGGAATCGCGAAATCCAGTTCATTTCTAAATCATTTCCTCACAATCCTTTCCAAATACATTTATTTAAAAAAAAAATAAAAAATCATTTCAACCTCACTTTTCCCAAACTATGCCCATGCCATAAATGACATTGACGTACATATGCTTGCATTTCATCAATTTAGCCATACATACTCATCATTGTCATCATGTATATACATATAACCTCAAGAAAACATTTCAACGTAAGCCATGCTCTTTAAAACACCTTTGCAACCAAGCACACATATATATATACATATACAATTAACATCATTTAGAGTATGTTTTGCCACATAAACACACAAACACATAATTAACATTTAAAATTCCAAATTTATCATTTTAATCATGCTTAACAAAAAATCAAGTAAATGAACTCAACTAAGGTCAAAACTTAATGGTTTAAATATCCCTACCTCAAAAGTAGCCAAAATACATCCCTGGCTGGAAAAGTCAATGCCGGTCAACGGAGTCAATGCCGATCAACAGAAGTCAATGGCGGCGGAACGAAAAACTGTTTGGTGGAAACGTAGTCGACAATAAGGAGATTCTACTATTCCAAAGGCGTGTCTCAGGAATCCGACTCCAAAATCCCGTCCGTAGCTTTAGATCTAAAAGCTTCAAAAATTCGTAAAATAATCACTGCTCCTTCAAAATTTAAATCCATTGATTATGTGATAGAGAACGATGAGAAGAACATTTTTCGTCAAGGAGCTAAGGCCGGAAACCCAATCGATTGGCCGAAAAATGGAGGAGAAATATGAAGGTTAAAAAAAAAAAAAAAAAAAGAAAAGGAAGAAGGCAGGAAAGAGAGACCGGCGAGAGAGAGAGAGAGATGTCTGATGGCTGTGTAATGGCCTTAAGGCCATTATAATGGTGACATAACAGTGGGTCCCGCAAAATATAAATATCTCTTTTAATAATAATAATAATATTATTATTATATAGGGTTAAGTGCATTAAATCCCCTTCAATTATGAGCCAATTGCAAGAAACCCTCCTGAATTAAAAAATACCTCCTAAATTATAAAAGTGTTGCAATTCACCCCCACAGTGCCAAACAACTGTTAACTAAAAAATGAAATTACTTATTTGCCCATTATAAATTACTGTTCTCTCTTATGCAAGCTCTTGATAGATTGCGATCATCCCTCACTCCACTCTCTTTCTCTCTTCTCATCGTTTGGGTAATCACTTTCTTCTGTGTTATGGCCTTCATAAATTGAATCACATAGCTTTGAATTAATTTGAGGCAAATTAATTAATCTCAGATCTACTCATGATATATTATAGCTCATTGTTCATATCAATTGGACCCATTTATAGGGATGCAGCAACATAAAGCATGTTTCTCTATATGATCTTACAATAAAAACCTAAATAAATAGAGAAGGCTGAATAGCAAAAGCCCAAAGTCCCCTAACCCATCTAAGCGAAGCGCAAATGAACAACGCCGAGGGAAATGGTAGGCTCAGTTCTCGGTAACATTAATGGCTGGAGTTTTGTTGATTTCTCAATTTGTCGGTATTATTTTCGATCTGTTATTACCGGTATCAGATGACTATAAGGTGATCGAAGTAGAGAAGCATGAACACTGCGAGGATGGTAGATCTGCGATGAAAGAGTCAACAGCGGGGAGTGGTCACAGCACGCTCCATATACTGATGGGTCTTCAGGCTTTTTAAAAGAAGTCTACTGGCAAGGATTCTGGTCGGTGGTGAGCAAAGATTATAACGAGGGCTGGTGGTGCACGATATGTGACGATTGATGAACGGCGCAACAAGAAGCAGCAGTTCCGTCGAGCAATGTGTGAAATGGCGAGGAAGCGGTGAGCTAGACCAGTGAGGACTCGCCTCAAGAGTGAGCTGGCGAGAAGAGGGTTTGTATGGCAATGAAGAGGACAGCGAGCACTGTCTGAACGACCCTTGCCGGCGAGGACAAACCGTGGGCATGTAAGACTTACTGGCGGGCATGGAACAACGGTGTGCTTGATGATGACAGAAGACTGAAACTGCGGCGAGTTGGCCACCGCAAAGGATGGCGTGATGGCTTTTTCGATTTCTTGCTTGAATTGGGTTTTTTTGGAAGAGGATGGTGATCCAACGTCGTAAAGGAAGATGAAGACCAATGCCACGAGGACGATGTTAATTATAGTTTGTGGCGATGTGGTCAATGAAGGAGATAGATTGCACAGTTGGGCAGTTGTAGACTAAAGCTATGGGTGACGGAGGTTCTGGCACAGGGAATGAGAGAGGAGGCGTGGGGGTGGTTTGGAAGAATGTAGAGAGAGATGGAGTAAGAAGGAGGTAGGGTTATTATTGTCTTTTTAAATTTTTGCCTAGTCATGCTGTTAGATTTGGGATGGCCAATTAAAGTTTTGTAACTAAAGAAATAGTTTAGGGGGTTAAGTGTCGTTTCAATAGTTCAAGGAGGTTTTTTTAAAAAGAGAAGAAAGTTCAGGGGGGTTTAATGCACTTAACCCTTATATATATATATATATATATATATATATACACCAATCATTTAACAACCACAAATAACATGCATCATATAATTACACATCAAATTCTATTGCATGAAATGTAATGCACCCGAAATGCAACCCCTGTGCTCCACAATCTGGGTAACAAGTCCCATTTGGGACATTTCGGCCTGAAAAATAGAAAAATGTCGAAATGACAAGTAATGCACTTCTAAGAGTCCTGAACTCAAAGAAATGCCCCAAAAACTCTCAAGACTCACCCGGCAATCCCCATGGTGTCCGGCACGCAAAACGATGAAAGGCCAAAAGTCCAAAAAAATAAAAAAAAAATTCTAGAAAATGGAAAAAGAGAAAATCAAAATCATTACAATCTACCCTCCTTAATAAGATTTTGTCCACAAAATCTACCCTCCTTAAAGAAGGAAACTCACAACTACACACTTTCCCCAGAAACACCTAACCCAACCGCAGGACTATAAGCTCACCAACTTTATTGCCTTGATAACTGTAACGACTTGAACCCAGGGGTACGAATCGTTTACTGGGTCATTTCCCGAACTCAAGGTCAACTAAGGCATTACTATCCTTTCCTATGTTAATGCATAAAATATATACGTCATCCCAAGACTCATAGTACAATATCACTAACATCATAGAAAACTCACAAATACAGGTAGAATGGCAGCGGTGTCTAAGTCCATGGATACAAGTCATACGTCCATACTCCTCCAGTTTCCTG